ATTTTCATAATCTAAGATCTTTTTTTTTTTTTTTTTTATCTGGCTATTTATTATTGTTCATCGTTGGAAGTTTTAGTTAAGCAATTATATACATATTATATAGATTTATGTTAATTAATGAAATCTTTAATAATATCTTTTATACAATATTCAGGATTGATTGATTAATTTACGCAAATATAAGGCCAATGCCTAAAAATTTAATCGATTAATAATTAAAATTTAATTTTAATAAAATAATTAAAATTTAATTTTTAATTAATAGCTAAAATTTAATCTATTCAAATGGCAAATTTGATTAGAATTACAAAATGGTTGAATTTGTTTTTTTTTTTAATTTTTTAAAAATACATACTGGAACTGTTGATTGTAATTGTGCTATTAAACAAGTAAGTAAAGTTTCGTAATTTTTAATACTTTTGCTATAAAGAGCTTTCCAAAATTTTGAAAAACTAATTAATTAATTTTTTTTTACCAAAAAAAAAGTAAGAAAGTAAGCAAAAAAGTAATACTTTGAAGTATATTTATGTTTGCATATGTATTAGATGGAATAATAATAATAACAATAGTAATACTAATAATAATAATAATGATTATTATTAGTCGTAGTTGCAGTAATAGTGGTGATAGTGATGTAATTATAATGATATGATAATTGTTGTAATATAGTGATATAATAATAAATAGTGATAGTCGTCGTCGTCGTCGTCGAAGTAGTTAATGGCAGTGTTAGTTATAATAATGATGATGATATTAACAGTTCAATACCAATTTTGAATTTAATCTGAAATGTAATAAATTTTCGATTTTGTATTTTATTATTCGAATTATTGTAAAGCATTAAATTCCGCTCGGAAATTCTTATTATTCGTATTTATTAATCGAATTTTGTTGAAAAGGATGTTAAATTTCATTCGAAAATTTAAAAAAAAGTCATAAATATTTTTAAAAATTTGATAAAAGTACTTTTGGATTATAATTCTAGCAAGATAAAAAAACTTGTAAATAATATTTTTTAAATAAAACAATAAAATGATAGAAATATTATTTCTATTGGGAGAAAAAAAAAGCGCCGAATAATAATCTTTTAATGATTTTATCCCAAAAATTTTTTATTGATTTAAACATTTAATAAATTTTCCTTTTCTACATTTAGTAAAAGTTATATTTAATAAATTTTTCGTTTTTTTTTTTTGCTTGGCTTAGCTCAATTTATTGTTATTTTTGGATTGAAACGTGTAATATGACGTGATATCATTACGTAAAATCATGCGTCAAATATGTAGCTGTTACGAATTAGGTTAGGGTTAGGTAGAATTAGGTTAGAAATTAGGTTGCAAATTAGCTGTTACAAAGTTACAAATACAAAATCCAAGAAAACAAATCCAAGATTATCAATTATTTGCTGTAATATTATATTAAATTCCAAACTATACCATTATTTTATTTCCAATTAACGTCATATTCAATTATAGATTATATCTTGCTTATTCTATGTAATTAATTATATTCTGTTCATGTGTGTGTGTGTGTGTGTGTATAATAAAGGTCAGAAAAAAATGTTTAATTGAAATGAAATAATGAAATACTAAAAAAATTTTTAAAAAATTGAAAAATAGAAAAAAAACAATAGCTGTAATAAGAATTGAATGAAAAATTACAAAAATTAATGCTTCGAATGGTAGTAAAAAAAAACGAAACAAAACCGAAAAGATTCATAAATGAAATTAATTAATTAATTAGCAAAGTTGTAAAGGATGAAATTTTGAAAAATATCAAATATGAAGAAATATTACTATTAAATATTAAACATATTAATGTAAAAAATATTACGAAATATATTTTTTTTGAAAAAAAAATTTTTTTCCTTTTTCATTTTCTAAATTTCATCACTTTATTTTTTATTACATTTCTAAAATTGACAACAAAAATCGTTAAGCAGTGACTACTTCTCGTTTTCTCCTTTTTTTTTTTTTTTTCTTTTAAGAAATAAAATGTTAAGGAACAATCTGTCACCTCTTTTGCTTAAGGAACTATCTGTCACCTCTTTTGCTTAAGAAACCATCTGTCACCTCATTTGCTAAATCTTGCACCTTTATTGATAGTTTTATTAGCAATAATAAATTACTAAATAGTGCACCATTACTCTTATTTAATTACCCAATTACTAAATTTTGCCTCTTGAACGAGACTTAAATTCGGTGATCAAAAATTAAGTATCATTGTGGTACCACAAGAATTTCGTTTTTTTTACCATATAAATTTTAATTCTTACATTTAAAGATGAAATATATTAGGAGGAAAATGTATGACATATTAGAAAAGTTAGTGATAGGCAAAATAATTATAATTAAGTCTAAAAAAAAAAAAGATCCTAATTTTTGATTTTTGGAAAAGCATCCAGTAGAGATCATGAAATAATCGTTTGATTATCAAATTAAATTCAAGCATTTGACAAAACAAGCAGAAAAAAAATTTTTTTTCAAATCAACACTTAATTGAAATCTGTTTAAATTTACACGCTTATAATTTGATGAAGGAAGCATAGCCATTGATAAATGAAAATGATAAGAGTGATAAATGAACAATTTAAATAATCTAATCGAACGAAAAATAGTTTTATCAGTTTTTATCATATATAATAATAGCATGAAGCAACGAAATGAATGTAAATTATTTTCGAAGTTTTTTCTCCCAATTTTTTTAAAGACACTCAAACTTCGAGGGTATTATAAAACAATCAAATTCTTTTTTTTTTGAGAAAAAAAATGAACTTAATTCAATTTTATAAAATTTCTAATTTTGATTCTATTTTTCAATTTTTATTTTTTTTATTTTTTTGAAGAAAAAAAAAGATACCTAAAGAAAATGGAATAGTTTAAAGGTAAAAGTGAACTGCTTGAAGTAAACAGGTAAAAAAATAATAAAATGAATAAATCTTATAAAATAATTCATACATAATGGAAAGATAATAATAATAATAAATAAAAATATAAATTATCGGAATAAATAGTACTTAACAATTCTATTCAAAGCAATAAGCCATTCTTTTTTTTTTTTGAAATATTTAATCAACCAAAAAAAAAAAAAATTGAAAGATTTGTATGCATCATTTCTATTCAATCTTTATTGCTTTCTTTTTTTTTTATTTTTTTTTTACTTAAATTTTCTCAAATTCAATGACGTCTTTTATGCAATTCATATTTCAATTCAATGTAATGTAATTTAGGCATTTAAATGTCTTCGAGAAGAAAAAAAAAAGAAAAATAAAATGAGCGAAAAAGAGGAATAAAAGAAAATGAAATTTACGGAATTCATTTTCATTCCTTTTACTTTTAAATTAATTGAAAAAATTTTCATTATAAATGATTTCAAAAAATGTTACAAATGTTCAATTTTCTTTACAATTTCCTCATTTTTTCATTCTTTTTTTTTTGAATTTTTTTTTTTTAATTGAAAATATTGATTAACAAGATAATGTATTGTTGCAATTATTTTATTAAGATTGTGAAATAATTTCAAAATTCATAATTATCAATGATACTAATTAAGGTGAAATGACCATTCGGTTGACATATCGATGAATGAACACAGATAGAACATATACACATTTCAATATATCTAAAAGAATAAAAAATAATAAAAGATAAATTAATTAATTATGACCGATTGGACTAAAAAACGAAAAAGAAAACAGTTATTACTGTATTACAATGTTATTGTATTATT